TATAAAATATGTTCATTGAAAAAAATAATATCCTATCTTGATTAGAAACTATTCATGACCTTGGTCTCCGTCTCCGTCTTGGGGTCATGAAATTGAAAATTTTAGAACAAAAAGTTGAGAGGCTAGTGCACAAGAGAACTGATTATTCTACTTAAGAATAAGCTCACGTTTGAGCCAATTTTTTTCAATAAATTTTAAGAAAAATGACTTTTTTCCCCGTAGAGTATGTAGTTTAGAAGTATGAAGAAAAATATAAATTAACATGTAAAATATTTTATTAAAAGAATGTGTTGTCGAAAATGAGTTTAGGAGTAAATGAGCTTTAAAGAATGGACTCAAATGAGGGCTAAGTTTTCGTTCGAGTTTCTTTCTTTTTTTTTTTAGCTAAAATTTTAATTTGATAGAAGTAATTGTGAATAAATGAGTATTTATGGACATGTATGATTAAAATTAATATTTAATTTTCAAAATGAACTTTTTAATAATTAAAAAAATGATCTCCAAACATAGTGGGTATTTGATGGATATTATTGAGAAAATAATGTATTTTAAATAGTGGTATGATGAGAAATGTGTGGTTAAAAAGTAAGAAAAAGTTAATAATGTGATGAAAAATATTATTTTATTAAAGAATATGTGAATGAAAATGAATTTTAAAATAATGTATTTTGAAAGAATGTGAACCAAACATGGGCTATGGGCTAATTTGTCAAACATAACTTTTAAAATTACTTCTTTTAATAATAAAATTAACTTTTATAATAGTATTTTGAACTTATTCTTTTTTCCAAAAAACTTTTTTTAAATACGACCAAACTACTGGTGCATTTGGTACACGTTGCATAATTAGAGAATGCAATAAATAACACTGACATTTAGTTTTTTAGATTTAGTACTACTATAAAGGTCTTTTTGATTGTAAAATTGAAATTTGGGTGGAAAGAAAATGAATTATAGGGAATTGAATGGTTTAGAATTATTTTTTCTAGAATTGTTAATTAATTGTATTTGATTGGTATAATTTTTCATCTAAAAAATGTTGAAATTTTAGATCTTTTAGTATTTGTTTGATTTTGTTTTTCATGAAAATATTCCATTAAGGAGATTTTTTTTTTTAACAATTGTCCATATAATTTGTTTTTATTGCCAAAAAAAAAAAGGAAAACCAAATTTCACCAAATTGGTGAGAATTCATTTTCATAGAAAACAAGGAAGTAGATGCGTGTGAACCAAAACCAAGAAAATGAATTACCAAAAAAAAAAAATGTATCAAACATGTCTAAAGTGGAAGATGGAATTTCTTTTCCATTTTCCATGGAAATTTTGGGTGGATCAAACAAGGCCTAAGAATTGCTTGACGATGTAAAAGATAAACTCATAATATCGATCTAAATTTAAAATATAAGTATGCCTGTAGTGATGTTGTAAAATTGGGTGTAATTCAAAATTACTTTTGCATCATCATTTATATTCTCGTGGATCTATATTCAATTTTTGCTCAAATGAAAAGATCTACAAAAAAATTGGATGCAAGTGGGTTGATAACCTTTTACCTCTTATGGATAAAAAAGATGCATATATTTATATTTTTTGTCGAAAAATGTAATCTACATTTTTTTTTTTTCGCATATCTCCATTTGAGAGATTTTCGACCCCTTCAAAAATTTGAATCACAATTTGGATCAAATTTTAAGCACCATTGAAGATGCTCTAACAAACGACAAATAAAGACTTATGTTAATTGTAACAACGCACCATAAACATTAATTAATTTATGTCCCTACATGTAATTTCTTTTTGTTTTATACAAAAATATGTCGACATTATATATTAGTTTTTACTAAGGGCCCGTTTGAGCCCCATTTTCATTGTAAGAATGCATTTTGAAATGTAGTTTGATGGAGAAGATGTGGTTAAAAAATACGAAAAAGTTTGAATTTATATGTAATATTATTTCATTTAAAAATATGTGATTGAAAAGAAGAGAGACAAAAATATATTTTGAAAATAATGAAAATTAAACAAGCTTTAAAAGTTAAATATTACTGAATTAAATATATTATTTATTTATTTATACTAAAAATTAAATATTATTAACTAAAATATATTTTTTATTTATTTATGTTTACTAAATTAATATTTTTACATAATTTAGCCACTATTTGTTTCATTTTAAAACAAAACTCTTTAAACCCTTGTTTGATTCCCGTTATTTTCAAACTATATTTTTCTTTCTCTTCTTTTCAACTATATTTTTCAATAAAATAATATTACACACAAACTTAATTATTTTCCTTATTTTTAGAGTAACACTATTTAGCTCTACTAGGGTTAGCGCTAATATAATATTAAATGATAAGCGAAATTAAATGATTTAATTTCACGTTTCATTTAGCAAATCATCTAACACCACTTAAATTAGGGTTGCAATCCCAATTGGGCTATACAACATTACTTTACGTTTTAACCACTCGTTATCTGTCATTTATTATTTCAAAATGCATTGTTAGCAGAAAAGTGGTTCATATAGGCTCTAAATCTCATACTCATTTTCAACTACACATTTACATAATAAAATATTTTTCACGTAAACTCAAAAACATTCTCTACTTTTCAATGACACATTCTCGAAAAAATTACTATTCAAAACTCCGCCCATCCTTAAAATTAAAAATTGCCCTTATTTGAGTTTCATTTTTTAAAAATTCATTTTCAATTACACATTTTTCAACAAAATAATTTTACATATAAATTTCAAACTTTTTCTTATTTTACATTCTCCAAAAATCACTATTCCAGAATATATTTTTACCCCAAAATGGGGATCAAACATGTGCATAATATTGTTTTGAATAATATTTTTTGAAGAGTGTGTAATTGATTTGTGTGTAAAATATTTTATTGTGTGAATATGTATTTAAAAATGAGTATGAGAAATAAATTGCACTAAAATCAAATTTTAATCTAAATCAAAGTTAAACAATCAATATTAACATCTTTTATGAGTTCCACAACCTTTCAACCACCCATTTCAAAAGTTTCTATCTACTAAAAATCTAATTTTAATTCCCACCAAACACCATTCAAATTAAATAAAATGGGCCATTGTTTAGAGAAAATATATTTTGAAATAATGCATTTTATGAAGAATGTGTGGTTAAAAATCAGAACTTTTTTTCGATTTACATATAAAATTAGCCATTGTTTGGTTTCCATTTTATTTAAAATATATTTTTCTCTCTTATTTTCAGCAATACATTTTTCAATAAAATGATATTACACGCAAAATCAAACAGCGCAAAAGATGAAAATGGAAAATATTTTCCTAATTCCCTGGAAAATATAGCCTATCAAACGCGCCCTAATATTATTTTATTGATAGAATGTGTGGTTGAAATGAAAGAAAGAAAAAGAATGAGAAGGAGAAAAAAATGAGTGTCAAATAGACTAAAGAATATACAGGTGGCGCTCTGTTAGTTGAGAACTGTAAGGCTCGGTTAGATTGCCACCACTCCTGAGTGTTAGAAAACCGGAGACAAAGTCCAAAGGCGGGAGTCGGGACCCAACTGTAGTCAAGTGGACTCATTATTAATTTCTGTTCAATATCCACACACAAACTTGCTTCAACAAGTAGGCATATATATTTATTGCAAAAAGAAAAAGGTTCCAAAAATTTGCTCTGTAAAACCAGAAATCTCCGCGAAGTTTCTCTCTCACGGATGTATAAATTGATTCTGACTTTGTAGAGAGGCCTTTATAGCGAATCACACCGAAGGTATGATTTTCAGTTAACCTTTTTGCGTAGTTTGCCTTTACAATTTTTTTTTAAATTTTGTTATGCTTTTTTACTTGCATTTATATGTATTTACTGGAATTCAAAGATAGGTGAGGTTTGTGGAGTAAGTTTATATTGTTCTTTACTTTTTTACGGTTTTGTTTGCTTTGAATTTGTGTTATGCTGTTTTAATTGCATTTATCTTTTCTTAGTCAAATTTAAAGACAGTTAAGCTTTGATTTTTTTTTTAATAGTTGTTTTGGGGGTTGAATTTGGAAGAAACTGTAGTTTTTTTATGGTCTTTTTAGATAGTTGAATTTTTAATCTTTTTAATAATTTTGGAAAGACATTTTATTGTTCTTTACTTTACAGTCTTGTTTGTTTTGGATTTTAGTTGTGTTTTTTTTACTCGCAATCAACTTTTCTTACTCAATTTTTTAAAGACGGGTGAGTTGTAATTTTATTTTTAGCTGCTCTGGAGTTTGCATTTTGGAAGAATCGTGGTATTATGGTTAGATTTGCAATTTTTTAATTGATTTGGAAAAAAATTCAGTTGTTTTTTAGTTACTTTTTCTTTAAGGTTTGGAGAAATTGTTCGTTGAAGACAGTTTATAGTTTTATTCAACAATTTGAAATTCGGAATTTCTAATTTTATTTAGTTGTAATTTGACAATAATATCATTTTGAGGCATTGCTTGATTGTAATTTCCCTCATTTATTCGTTATTGAGATTTTATCCTCATTTTGAGAATTGTTTAATTTGGACTTTGGTTTTGTTTGGTTGTAATAGAACACCATCATTTCTTGAAATGAGAGACACCAGTTGAAATGAATATGCCTCTAAATTAATGCAGCCCTTTAAAATTTATGTTTAAGATGCTGTCTTCTTTTTGGGATTTTGTTATGGAACAATTTTTATCATAATTAAGATGTTTATTGATTTTTTATTTATTTGCTTTACACTTTTGTATCCCCTTTTTGCCGTAATTTTTTACTCGACTTGCATAAAATAAGTACAATTCCCCTATTATGTTTAATTGATGACTGAAAAAGTGACTTATTACTTTTAAGAGTTATGATTCAGTTATGGAGACCACATAATCAGTCGGTTTTAATGATTATCCTCCAGGGCTTTATCTCGATCAACTCAATCAGAAGAAGTTTTTCATGAATTCCTTGTTCTGTCAATAGTTCAGTTGTTGATATCTCTTTTCACGGGTTTCTCATGCGAGCTGAAGTGATGAATTTTCGGCAAGAGAAGTTTGTGAGGTTAGTTCTCCAAGGCCCTTATCACTTGCATTTCCTTGGGTCAATTTGAGGTAGCAAGGGTTTAGCAAGGTTCATTAAGAAATTTCATTTGTAATGTTTTGGAAACCCAGACCTTCCATCTTGTCTATGACACAGGTATTGTTTCTTAATATTTTGGAGAATGGTCAAAATCACTATTGGGTAATTGTGGTAATTCAATGGATATTCCAGGTGGTTCTTTTTTAAAGAAATGCTTTGAAAAAACATTTTTATGCATGAGCTCCTTTGCTAAATTTTACCTTGGTTATCGAATGGAAAATTATTGCCTTCCAACCAGGTTTTGAAATTTTTCTGTGTATTTGGTTCTTATTAGTTCAGCTGCTCCGTAACAATTTGACGTAGCACCTTACTTCTGATGCACTATTATGTCCTGATTCTTAGTTTATTTTCTAATTCAGGTTTAAATCGGTAAAAAGCTCAGGCGGGCAATCTCCTAGCGAAGATGGAGTGCGACCGGCCAAACTTAGATCAACAATGTACTTCATTGCAGGCAAATTCCATAGAGGGTTGGAAAGTGGTTCTGAAAGAACTAAAAGATTTACAGAAGCACTGAAATCATTCTCGCTGAATAGGTTTTTGGCCGAAGATGTGGGATCTTGGAAGAAAATTCTCGATCCTCAAGGATCTTTTCTTCAGAAGTGGAATAAAATATTTGTACTGGCGTGTGTCATTGCTGTCTCCTTGGATCCCTTGTTCTATTACATTCCTGTGATTGATAATGATAATAAATGCCTTCTTTTGGATCGGAAATTGGAGGACATAGCATGTGTTTTGCGATCCTTCACTGATATCTTTTACCTTATTCATATTATCTTTCAGTTCCATACTGGTTTTATTGCCCCTTCTTCGCGAGTATTTGGAAGAGGCATTCTAGTAAAAGATTCATGGAAAATAGCAAAGAGATATCTGTCCTCTTACTTCTTAGTTGATATTCTTGCAGTCCTTCCACTGCCACAGGTAACAGAGGCTTTTCCTTTGGCATAGTGGTTTCTGAATTTATAATTTCCATTGCAAGAAGGGTTATCCAGACTTTATTCTGCATGGAACTTAAGTCTTGCAATGTTGGAATAAATGAAACTTGTTCTTTACCCTTTTTAAGTGCGGGAACTCACTTCCGGACACGTGGATTTATAATTGGGGATCTCCACTCGTGTTTTCAGCATTGAATATTTTTATGAGCGAAACTTTATAACCTCAACTAGGAAAATGTAGTTTGCCATTGATCTTCAGTTAATGAGGATCTTTTTTCTATAATAATTTTTATTAAGGTTATAAGCTGTTGCATTTGTAACACCATCTATTCTGTTTCTTCCAAGAGCAAGATGCCTTGCCTTGTAGATTACTATAGATCTTTTTTTCTGCACACCTGATTAGTTGGAATTAATTCACACTGTGAATGTTGCCTTACTGATCAATTTTGTAATTTTCCAGGTGGTTATTTGGATTATCATTCCTAAATTGAAAGGTTCGAGATCTTTGAATACAAAGAATTTGTTAAAATTTGTGGTATTCTTCCAGTATATACCAAGGGTTCTTCGTGTCTATCCTCTGTATAAAGAAGTCACTAGAACTTCTGGCATACTCACCGAAACAGCATGGGCTGGAGCTGCCTTCAATCTTTTTCTTTACATGCTTGCAAGTCATGTAAGTTTGTAACAAAGCTTCAAATGCACTTTTTTACTGAATTACATGCCCTGATATTTTCATTTTGTTGTTGGGCCATCTTCGATTTTGACTAGATACTATTTTCATACTTGACTTTGGGACCTTGGGATATTATATTCCTTTATTTTGTTTGGATTAAGATTGTTTCTAGCAAGCATCGTGTGGGCCTGCCTTTAATAGGGTGGGTATGGTGCTACTAAGAGTATGTTTCATATGTTTCATAGTGCGTATAAACTGTGTCCTATAAAAATGTTTGGATGATAAATGGGTAGTGAGTTCTATGAAATGTGTGGATAAAAAGTATATTTGAGTAGCTTAAATTATAATTTAATTTAAGCAGTGCCAAACAAGCACTAAATGGAGAATTGTCCAGGCTTTGGATGGTTGCCCCAGGCTTTGGATGCGATACATGGTTAAGCTAAACCTGTTGTGAACCTGTGCCAATTATGCAAATTTACTGCATCACCACAGATGGAAACGGTGTATAAGATTAAGTTTGATAGTTTAGGGTCATTTCCCTCCTGAAGTCTTCATTCTTCTCTCACATGTATTAATATTATCAAATATGACAACACGTGCCTGTAATGGCTGTATTAATTATGTGTATTCAGCTTCAAATTGGGGGTGGATGCTTTAATTTTGGCAGACAAGGTGGGGACAGGATGGGATCGTGTTGAATATCTTAGGGGTGGGACATGGTGGGGGTCTGAAGGGTGAATCTTGGGGGTGGAAAAAGATGGGATCAACGATTGAATCTTAGGGAGGGGGCGGCATTGGGTGGGTGGTGTGAAGCTTGATGTCTGGCAAGATAGTGATAGGCATTCCTGCTGCATTGCTATTCCTAGATAGCTGATTGTGGGAGTGTAATACTAAAATAGAAATTTTCAATGGTAAAACTGAACAGTTGTACTTTTTGTATGTACCTCTTATTGATCTCTTTGATCACCCCTCTTTTAGGTATTTGGTGTCTTTTGGTCCTTATTTTCCATAAAGTTGTGAAACTACTTGCTGGAAAAAGCTTATGGGAATCAATCTGCTTGAAGAGATGCTTCATATTGTTACTATTTCTTTGATCATTATGCTTTTGCCACTCTTTTAGGTACTTGGAGCCTTTTGGTACTTGTTTTCAATAGAACGTGAAACTACCTGCTGGCAGAAAGCTTGTGGGAATCGATCTGCCTGTAGACATGCTTCATTGTATTGCAAGGGCGATCATACTGTACATAATAAGTTTCTGAATGAAGCCTGTCCCATAGAGAACGCAAATAAGACACTTTTTGATTTTGGGATATTCCTTGATGCTCTTCAGTCTGGAGTTGTGGAATCAACAGATTTTCCCCAGAAGTTCTTCTACTGTTTCTGGTGGGGACTGCAAAATTTGAGGTATGCTTGTATTTGATTCCCTGTGCTCATATGTTGATTTTGCATAATGGTTCATGTTAATATGCCTAATTTCAAATTCCCCAACATCCTTTCTTGTAGTTTCAAAAAGGGTTGTTTCATAATCTATTGAAAGCCAAAGTGGGCTTTCTAAATTGAAAGCCAAGGCAAGCTTTATAAGAATGAGGTTAGGATATAGCCACATATTAAATGTAGTATAATTAGTTAGTGCATCAGTTTCCACCCTTGTTCAGATGTATGGACGTCTTTTATTTCAAAAAAAGAGAAAACCTGTTTGTTAGGTGGTACTTCAGTGCATTACACTGCTTTAGTCATTTCAAAGAAAATAAACAAAATGAGATAAGAGCGATTACATTTATCTCATAATAGGTGTCTTTCCAATATTTTTCCTTAACCTACTGTCTTCTCTCGACATTTGGGCGTCAGGGTGGGGTAATGGTATTGAGTGATGAGTAGGATCAGAATTTTTTATTTCAATAGAGTTCGAGCTATTGACTAGTACTCCATCTCCTAACCTTCTATATTTAAATCATGAAAGATGAGTTTTTATATTAATATGCCTCCCCTAAATCATTGTACGAAATCAGAGTGAGCAATTGTTGGTTGGGGTGATCATGCTGAACAGTCCTTGTTCTCTTGATCTAGACTTATTTCGATTCTATTCTCTCAGCCTTTCTCATTTATGGAAATTTAATCCCATTTCCCTTAATATCTATTTCATCTCCGTCTTCTTCTTTTCATAGTTATGGACAACAATAATCCTGTGAAAGATGGGTAATGAAATGCATGGCCTCCATTATCACGTTCAATTTCACGAATTTAAGATTTTTGTTCTTGAAGCTTTTTCTATGTTTAGAGGGTCAGATTTAGCATTTATATTTTACTCTTCTGATGTTGCAGTTCCCTTGGTCAGAACCTCAAAACAAGTACCTTTGTTTGGGAAATTTGCTTTGCAGTTTTCATCTCCATCTCTGGCTTGGTGCTTTTTTCATTTCTTATTGGAAATATGCAGGTGAGTGAATTAGTCGTTTTATCTATTTGTTCATTCAAGTTGTTTCTAACAATATCCCTGTGTGCAGCTTAACAAAGCGATGATCTAAGGAATTCTTTAGTCTCATTTTACTATTACATATACATATAAAAGGAAAATGTTTAAGTTTTAATCGAATATTTCTAGAAAATATTTTAAGTTTTAACTGAATCTTCGTTTGAGAATGGTGTATTACTGATTTTGATGTGTCAAAATGATCACTTAGGGTTGTCGGATTTTAATGCCCAAGGACAATTGCGGTTACATTTTTCTTTTTGTATGAATAGTCTGTGCAAATAAAGTATCTGGAACTGATTGGAAGCTTAAAGGACAGCCATTATAATGTTTTATCTTAAGATGGTTTAAATTTTGAAACCAAACTAATTCTGCAATCAAGAGTTTGAAAAGTCCCAAAGGTCGCATTGTCAAAACTAGGTTCTAACAAACCATGTATACTCGTGGTACGACAGACTTTTTTGCAGTCCACAACTCTAAGATTAGAGGAAATGAGAGTGAAAAGACGTGATGCAGAACAGTGGATGTCTCACCGTTTACTTCCTGAAAGCCTGAGGGAGCGGATCCGGCGATATGAACATTACAAATGGCAGGAAACCAGAGGTGTTGATGAAGAGAATCTGGTTCATAATCTTCCGAAGGACCTTAGAAGGGATATAAAGCGCCATCTTTGTTTGGCTCTACTTATGAGAGTGAGTTCTCCTGCTTATGCCGTGCCCTACTGTTTCTTCCTTGATTTATATCAATTCATTGCTCTATAATTGTCATCTTAAATTAAATTGTCTTTTTTATCCGGAGTCAGGTTGCCCTAAAATACAGATGTAGTTCATATTTATGGATGTTTAATTTTTCATGGCTTGGCTGCCTCCTATTTATGTTGAACTACTTGAACTAAAAGCTTTAGCTATAAGAGAGGGCACATGTAATATCATTTAAATCTTGTTCTCAACACGTCCCACCTCACGTGTAGGCAGGATACATATTTCACCCACAAGTCTTAAACACTTGCACAATTTAATGGCGGTGAGAGTTGACCCCATCCCCGAGGACCTTTCTTGCTCAACTTGATCGAAAAGCTTAAGCTGTATCTTGTCTTCAACACATAGCACCCCTCATTCTTGTTACTTCTTCAACAGATAAATTGAAAAATGAGAAGGTCCTCTTGATCAAAACTATAGTAATCACATCCATTGTCTCCCACTACGCACCTTGGAATGCAACGTTTTTATAGAGATAAACGTGCTCGCATGGGTTATTACCGCAAAATGAAATGTTGGGGAGAGGAAATGTTCCTTGTTTTAGGGTACTCCTGAGAGAAGATCAAAGAGATGGGGGTGGTGCATGTATCTTGGAGAATTAGAGCACGTGGCTTCGACAGATTCGGGGTTGTTGGGAATTTACTTAATTATGCACAGCGAAAATAAAACAATTTTCAATTCCCACCAAGGATCTGCATTGTGTTTAGATAGAAATTGTGATAAGAATTATACCTTTGATGAATTTTACAAACTCCTTTACTGATTCTCGAACTCCAATGATTACGATATGCAATCCAAACTGTCCAATTGTCCAGTCTCCAATGGTGATCCACACGTAGAACAAAAATGATGGTTAGGGTCTTCTTTTCTTGTGCTAGGAAGAATAATGAAAAATTTCATATAGTTTTCAAACCCTAGCAACCTATTTATATAAGTCCAAGCGGGCTCGACCCGTCGTTAAACTTAACCCGATTCAATAATTAATTAATCAAATTAATTAAATCTGGTCCATGAATTAATTAATCCAATTAATTCGGGCCTATTAATAAGCAACTCAATTAATTAATTATCGAACACTTGTCAATTAATTAATTGGTAAATCTCATTTTTCTGGTTCTCTTTTGTGTGTGACCCATTATGTTCCCGATTACGATACCTAACGACGTGAATTATTATTTTGATATAATTAAAATCGATAAATTAAAACACTCCTTTTAATTTAGCACTAATTTACATTCATCTTCCCAGATTGATATCTAACAATGTGTCGGGCAATACATGTGACGGAAAATGTCACGTGGTGTGACAAAACCAAACTTGTTCGTTTACCGTGAAATTATAATCCTTTCGTCAATATGGACAGATCAATTATGAGATATGGATGTGTCAATCTGAATTATCGATCATATCTTTTATCCCACTGTTAAGTCAATGTAAGTCGAAAATGAGTTTTCGACTTATGAGTTCACATTGGCCAAAGATTTCATTATCAACTTAACCGGATAAAATGTAGATAATAATCTCTTACTATCTAAGAGTGACGAATCCTCTATCGATCATTCACAACCTTCATATGATTTTTGACATACCCGTACGATGTTGTATTAGCGACCTTTAGCAGAGCAATATCCAATACCATCAAAGTATAACTGTTCTCATATAAGGTACTACGATGACCTCAAGTCAAAGGACCAATTCCACTACCGAATGTTAGAGATTAACTACTAAACCTCAGATAGTTATCTATATGGAATCTCCCAGCGGGTCTCAAATCACTTGTCAATTAATTAATTGGTAAATCTCATTCTTCTGGTTCTCTTTTGTGTGTGACCCATTAGGTTCCCGATCACGATGCCTAACGACGTGAATTATTATTTTGATCTAATCAAAATCGATAAATTAAAACACTCCTTTTAATTTAGCACTAATTCACATTCATCTTCCCAGATTGATATCTAGCAATGTGTCGGGCAATACATGTGACGGAAAATGTCACGTGGTGTGACAAAACCAAACTTGTTCGTTTACCGTGAAATTATAATCCTTTCGTCAATATGGACAAATCAATTATGAGATATAGATGTGTCAATCTCAATATCGATCATATCTTTTATCCGACTGTTAAGTCAATGTAAGTCGAAAATGAGTTTTCGACTTATGAGTTCACCTTTGCCAAGGATTTCATTATCAACTTAACCGGATAAAATGTAGATAATAATCTCTTACTATCTAAGAGTGACGAATCCTCTATCAATCATTCACAACCTTCATATGATTTTTGACATACCCGTACGATGTTGTATTAGCGACCTTTAGCAGAGCAACATCCAACACCATCAAAGTATAACTGTTCTCATATAAGGTACTACGATGACCTCAAATCAAAGGATCAATTCCACTACCGAATGTTAGAGATTAACTACTAACACTCAGATAGTTATCTATATGGAATCTCCCAGCGGGTCTCCAATGTTTTGTTCTATAACNTTAGATAGTTATCCATGTGGAATCTCTCAGCGGGTCTCCAATGTTTTGTTCTATAACAAAACATCCACGTGTTCATTCAAGTGTCACCACACTTTAGCTTGTGAGATCAGCTACTTACTTCACAAGTAAGAATGCCACACGTGATAGTCTATTCGTGATAACGATATCCATATCTCGTTATTACTTCGACCACAAACGATTTAAGATTCAGTCATATGTAATTTGTATCTCACAATCACAATTTTTTGTGATTAACAAATCACCAAGACTTGAATTTACGGATTTCATTATTTAATTTATTAGAATATTAATCAAATTAAATAATAGATCTTGCCATAAATATGCATCGACAATATACATCAAAAGTGTTTATGTCCAAAATTGATTGTACTTAGGGCATAACACTTACAAAGGTCACAAATCCTTCCTCGCCCACAAAATGAGCTTGTGTTTAATGTCAAAAACTTGCAATACCCAAGTTACTTCGTCATACAATCCTTTGATAGAGCCATTTTTACATGGCATGACTTCTGTATCCCATTTACTTATTGCTTGTTTTAGCCCCATTTTTTGCTAAGAAAGCGTCTTAGAATAGCAGATTGATGGAGAATGTGTAGTTAAAAAATAAGGAAAAATTTTGGATTTGCGTGTAATATTATTTTATTGAAGAATGTGTGTTTGAAAAGAAGAGAGAAAAATGTATTTTGAAAATAATGACATCAAACAAGGGCTTACTTTGTCATAGAATATTAATTTCCATTTCTATTTTATCATGCGATTCTAATATGCCTAATTGTCAACAATATTTCAGGTACCGATGTTTGAGAAAATGGATGAACAGCTCTTGGATGCGATGTGCGACTGCCTGAAGCCAGTGCTTTACACGGAGGACAGTTTCATTGTGCGTGAGGGTGATCCAGTTGACGTGATGCTGTTTATAATGCGGGGTAAACTGCTGACAGCAACCACAAATGGAGGACGAACTGGCTTTTTGAATTCTGATTATCTGAAAGCTGGTGACTTTTGTGGAGAAGAGCTACTTACTTGGGCGCTCGACCCCCATTCGTCATCTAACCTCCCGATCTCAACAAGAACCGTACAAGCCCTCTCTGAAGTTGAAGCATTTGCTTTAGTGGCCGATGATTTGAAGTTCGTAGCTTCCCAATTCAGACGATTACACAGTAAACAGCTCCGTCACACGTTTAGGTTGTACTCGCAGCAGTGGAGGACTTGGGCAGCTTGTTTCATTCAAGCAGCCTGGCGCCGTTATAGTAGGAAGAAGTCGGAGGAGTTGCTTCGAGAAGAGGAAAACCGGTTGCAAGATGCATTAGCGAAGGGTGGTAGCAGCTCGCCAAGTTTGGGTGCAACCATTTATGCCTCGCGTTTCGCTGCTAATGCATTACGTGCTCTACGGAGGAACAAGACAAGAAAGTCGAGGATGCCGGAACGGATATCGCCCATCCTGCTTCAGAAGCCCGCTGAACCTGATTTCACAGCTGAAGATAAATAAACGGTACAGTATGTTATACTTTTAGTAAGTTATATTACTTTTCCTTTTTCTGTCTTTTTAATTTTGGCATAAGTTAGTTGTGTGACTTGATTCTGTTGTTTATGAATGTAATTGCTTGATCAGATTAAGACTTCATTTTGTATATTATGATATATGTGGAAATCATGCGTGAAGTTGATACATTTGTACGAGAATACGCATGTGTGGGTAGGCGGGGTCGAAGGGGCGTGGGTTGGGGATAACTGATAAATAATTTTCTTTACTTAGAAAAATGAACTCAAAAACATTATAAAATAAAAAGTTACTTGCAGATAATATTGACCAGCAAATGAATCCATATTGCATGTATTTGGGTACATGAAATAATAAAATGCAACTACAATAGTGGATTCTCAACTATAATAGGTTGTATTCTGTTCAGTCAACACACTTTGGTACCTTGAATTGAAGAAAGGGTGCGTTTGATTGTAAGGGTGTAAATAAAATATTTTGCAGGGAAAATGATTTCAAGTGTGTTTGATTGGTATAATTTTTCACCCGAAATTTTTTTAAAATTTTGGATCTTTTTGTTCACGTTTGACTTTATTTTACATAAAAATTGTTCATTAAAATAATTTTTTTTTTTATAATTGGTTATGAAATTTGTTATCATTGTCAAAAAGTAAAAAAAAAAAAAAAAGTTTGCTCAAAAACTATTTTTTCACCATTTTTTATCAAAGTTTAGTGTTTGTTTAGCTTCGTTTTACATGACAATTATCCATTAAAGTTATTATTATTATTTTTTACAATTGGCTATAAAATTTAATATCATTGCCAAAAAAAAAAAACAACGTGGCTAGACTTGGAATTCATTTTGGGGAAACATTTTCAGCCAAAAAGTGGAAAATGGGCGTATGGAGGGGTGGGAGGGAAAACATTTTCCTTGGAAAATTTGTGCTGTCAAACAGCACAAAAGTGGAAAATATTTTCCATTGAAAAAAACCCAATCAAACACGGCCGAAGAATCATTCAGGCATCGACTTTCTATTACATGTATTTGTTGTCTATTACCATCTGTCCACACTCCAAAATACAAGAAGGAACATGAAATAATAAAAAGCAACTACATTAGTGGATTCTCCTGGTAGGCTTGAGAAATCTTGAAGAGCTTTCACTTCCCTCTTGATGAAAGATGGCAAGGCGAATGTGGCTGTTTGAATCAATGAATCTGTCAAGCATACACAAATGGAGAGAATTATGATCCCAAAAATGAGAATAGTGGATTAGTTGTATTCATTTTCAGACTCGAAAAGATATAACGAATATGAAAAATGAGAATTCCTTGATCATTGTAAATTTTACGACAATTTCCTTCAAACTACAGTACTTAAAGTTTGGCCTTTTTTCTTCTCTTCAAGGTTTGAAAGCAATACTAGAATAGATAAGATAGTGAAACATATGCAAACAAATGGATGGAATGATTACTTGGATGGTTTGGATATGTTTGTATGGGCTTAAGAAGCTCCCTCTCATAAGAATAAGCTGTTCTCAATAAAACCGTGCAGGGGGTTTGAACCTTGACGAACACTTGGGTCCAGTAAAAGTAAGTCCTATAGCCAATCTAGCAACGATAAAGAAAATTGGTTGATTGAAGATAAGTTCCTAGCACTGGAATAATAAATGGTTAACGTACGCACCACCCATCCACTATGATAGTTGGCCAAGCCCCAATCATTATTTTAACTGCTAGAACGGGTATGGCAAAGGTAAGTTCAGAAACGAAAAAAAATTTAAAAAATAGTATAGGTGCAGACCAAAAGTAACATTGACATATTGAATTTGCTATAGACCTAGCAATGAACAAAATGCAGTGGCTAAAACGATTCTTGTAGTCGTCTCCAAATTTATTGGGAACAAACTTGGTTTCTTGTTGGAGTATGTTTTTAAGGGCAATGTGCGCTTTTAATGGTAGAATAGCTTAGCGATGCATGATGTTTCTATAGATTTGTCGAGGACTAGATTCTGGTGAACGGTTATATAAATCCTTGAATTTTAAAATCCAATAATCATTCACTCGAACTTTTGGGATAGTTTCATAATTTATGATAACATCTTTCCAGTTCCCATAAACAAATTTTAAGTTCCTTCTTTCTACTTTGGCCACGCCACTTAGGCCATGTTTGATTGTCAATGTCACATCTGATGAAAACGAATTCCATTTTGACCGTTTGATTGCAATGTGGAAATGGAAACCGAATTCCATGGTACAACTACTTTAAGTTGTATTTTTTTTTCATGGAAAACGAATTCCTATGGGTTTGGTGGGTTTTTGTTTTCCAACTTATATGGAATTAGAATTTCTTTCCACATTTGCCTGTCAAACGGACCCTTAATATAAAGTGAATGTGCAGCAAACAGTAATCATTTAATTAGCAGTTCATGAAATTTTTAAGGTCAACAAATACGCAGGTGAAAAGAAAATACCTCAGGTGCACCGGGCATCTTCTCGATTGGATAGATAGGGTGAATAAAATCAAAGGATGTCCCTTCGTTGAGCATAACAAAAAAACTATAATACAACTGTGTAAAATATGTAAAACCTAAATCCTCATATGCAAATTTAAATATGAACTTAAGGCCTAAGGGTGTATTCAAGTGGAATTTTTAAAGAATTATAAGGATTTCAAAAGTTTAGGGATATTCGATGTAAATTTTTTAAAACACTTTACAAATATTGGTGTAATAAATATTGACTTACTTCCAAAAAATCTTTGAAAGTTATTCAATTTGAATTTTTAGAAGTCCCTAACTTTCAAGTAGAAAGTACAAAACAAGATTTCAAGATTTGTTTCTAATTCACCCCAAGATTGTGGGAGACTTTCACAAAAGATCTTTTTTATATGTATTTTTTATACTTTCAGTATTTTTCTTTCCCCTTCTCTTTTACGAACCTTAGAACAATGAGTAAAAAATTAGCATTTTTTACTCTCTTCTATTGATTATATTTGTTCTCCTCCTTTTCTCTCGTATTATTTCTCCATCGCAATCGAATAAACCTCCCAAATTCTTTTAGTAAATTTAATTACAGCAAAATATACTCTCCAATTCTCATAAATGTATGAAAGAGCAAAAAATTTATTCATGTCACTGTAACATGCAAGCCACAAGAATTTACAATTTTAGCATTTTCAACATATAATTTATGTCCAAAATGTTGGAAAAAAAACAAAGAACAAACCAAAACACGGCTCAGCTATCAACCGTTTGTGTAAATCCTCGACAACTAACATGTTTGGTACGTATTATTGGGAACGACCAAATGTCTCCGTTCCCGAGCCAATAAGTAAGGCGTAATTTCTGCATCTAATATAAGATTTACAGGGGTACTCTGGTGGGATCTTCATGGACGAAAAAAAATTGCACTTGTGAGAAGCAAGTTTGAGTCACTTCAGAATCTTCTAATTTCAAACTTGAAGCAGAACCTGCATGATCCACTGGGCCTTCCGTCAAGTGAAGACTCAGGTTTCATAATTTTCTTGTCTTTGCAATACATTTTACTAACAAAGTGAAGTGTACAGTACCACCCGATAAATGCAACATCTTTCTCTAACGAATGTAGAACTATAACCAAAGTTGCATTTTCCATCATTGCAGTAGATTTAAAAAGCTTTCACCAGTAATCTTTACAGGAACACGACCCGTCTTTGATGTGGTGAAACCTGTTTGAATCCCTCACCACTATCTCTCTCCCTGTTGCAATTGATATGTATTTCATGGCTGCATGACAATCTCCACACACTCGAAGATTTTTAAAAATCCGAATGGGCTTTTGTTTACTTGTGCTAATAAGACCAAATGCCAAAGCTATTTTCTCACTATGTTGAAACAAATATTGTTCCTTTTGTTCCTCCTCCACTTCATGAAGTACAAAATCCGTGTTCGGGACATAGCCCATCTCCTTTATTTCGAGCAACAATCGATCTAGTTCTTCATATATATCCCTTGCCCGAGGATGTCTAGTATCTCCTACGTAAAACTTGTGCACCTTATTTTCTGCTTCTATCCAGCTGCAGCCTGCCTCCTTAACCAAATTTCTTTCTTTCATGCCTTTTCTGATTTTTGCCACATTCTCCCACTGACCACTTGAAGCATACAAGTTTGATAATAAAATATAAGCTGCTGGATCATTTGGATCCTGCTCAAGAATCATCTCTGCGGCATGTTTGCCAAGTTCTGCATTGCCATGGACTCGACAAGCACCAAGCAATGTGCGCCAAACCAGAGCGTCAGCCATAAAAGGCATTGACTCGATGAATTGTTTGGTCTTTTCTAGAAATCCCGACCGACCTAACAAATCAACCATGCATGCATAATGTTCCATCCTCGGATGTATCCTATGTTCTTTGTACATCAGATGGAAGTATCTCCATCCCTCATCAATTAGACCTGCATGGCTACAAGCTGACAAAACAGCAATATAAGTGACCTCATTCGGTTTTACGCCAAAATCAAGCATTTGCTTGAATAATTCCAAAGCTCTTTTTGCAAAACCGTGTTTAGCAAAGCCTATAATTATTGAAGTCCAAGATATTACATTCTGATCTTCCATTTGTTTGAAAACTTGAAATGCAGCTTCTATGTTACCACACCTGGTATACATAGAAATCAAGGCATTAGCAACACACAGGTTAGACTCAAACCCGGATTTCAGCAATTGAGCATGTATTCGCTCTCCCTTACCAACTGCTCCAACACTTGCAGCTCCGCTCAAAAGACTTGCAAATGTAAACGCATCAAGACCAACTCTTGAACCATCAATTTGACTATAAAGTTCAAAAGCTTGGTTAGAATCCGAATTCCTAGCATAACCATCAATAAGTGCATTATAAGAAATCAAATTTCTCTCAAATAAAAATTCAAAAGCTTTTCGTGCATCTTCCATCCTATCAGTCTTAGCATACATGCTAATCAAAGAATTGCCGACAAGATTAACTGATGCAAGACCCAATTTCACTACATGATTGTATATCTGTTCGCCCAAATCCGCATTAAAAAGATTCCCACATGCCTTCAAAACACTAGCAAAAGTAAAATGATTCGGCCTCACTCTACTTTCTATCATCATCCTACAATACAACTCAATAGCTTCCTTCTCAAAGCCTCCATTTTGCACATACCCTGTTATGATTGCTGTCCAAGACATGACATTGTGCTCTGGCATTCGATCAAAAACTTTCCTTGAATCATCCATTGAGGAATTCACTGCGCACTTTGCATACATGTCCACCAAACTACACCCAACACAAACATCAAAACACAACCCACTCTTGATGACCCAACAGTGAAGTTGCTGCCCAAGAAACAACCACCCCAATTCAGAACAAGCTGATAAAACACTACTAAATGTAAATCGGTCTGGTGTAAACCCAGCCAATACCATATCCCTAAACAACTCAATTGCATCCCCCGGTAACCCCAATTGGGAACACCTCGTAATCATCAATGTCCACGAAACAGAATTTTTCTCTGGCATTTCATCAAACACTTTTTTTGCTAACTCCAAATCACAAAACCCCTTTGCAAATAAATCAATCAACGCACACCCAACACAAACATCAGCTTCAAAATACCCAGATTTCAACACAAAACCTAAAATTACCACCCCAACCCAGGCATATTCTTTATTGGAACAAGCTTGAATCACCGCCGAAAAGCAAAATTCATTCGGGCACTCCCCAAATTCCACCATTTCAAAGAACGTCATAATCGCCTGTAAATTCAAACCACTGCGCACATAGCACGAAATCATCGCGCTCCACGAAACCAAATCTCTCTTATCTCCCTCCATACTTTCAAAAATTTCCTCAGCCCTTTCCCACTCCCCACATTTCGCGTACAGGCTGATCAGCGAATTCAATGCAATTGAATCACACTCAAGTTTCGACTCCACAAGTCTGGAATGTACAACTTGACCCAGATCAAAATTCCGGGTCCGAATGCAGGACTTCAGTAGTACAGAGTAGACAGTGAGATCTGGTGTGAAGCTATTCTTAGACATGAAATCAAGGGTCGAGATTGCTTCCTTGATGTGGCCCACATTTGCTTGATTGATCAAACTGTCCTTGAGAGTTTCAAAATTAAGGGTTTTGCGAGGGTGATTGCTGGTGATTCTTTGGCGGGAAGGATGGTTGGACTTGAGTGTAAGTGAAGAAGCAGGTGAAGAAAGAGAGAGACTTATCATGGCGTCTTTAAACGGCTGTCTGGTTGATAACTCATCTCTTATAGTCCTCGATTATTGGATGGGGCCTGCAGAATGTGACTTATCATAGCTAGAGGAATGGGAACGGGATTATAAAGGGTAACACATCCCTTTGAAGAATTCTTTACCCCTTAAAAAAAGTGGATGGCAAACACAATTTAAAATAAAATAATTAAAAGCTTCATGTTATTGTATCTCAATCGCTTGCTCGGAATGGACTGTGACCCTTTTAGCCCGATTTCAAAACACCTTCGCTGTAACTTTGTTCCTCAACCACAAACTTAGAACGAGACCAACTTTCGTTCTTGGGAACGACACCTATCGGTGTTTAAACCACTCTTCTTACGATTATGCAAGTCCCCTTGACCTAGGTCAAACAATTACATTATAAATCAATTCAAACTAAAACATTAAAATTGGTAACATCGCAGAAATCAAAACTGCTATTATTTTTTCTATAACTCTGAATTGTTAAGGAACAAGTAGCAATTCTGCCAAGTAGATTCCACCCAAAACTTCAATAACAACTCCCTCGACTAAGATAAAATCAAGGGAAGTCAATCTCAAAATTCGAAGGAACACCAGAACACTTTTTCGATTGTCTCAACTATACAATTAAACGTCGAGTGCTTCTGCACTTGTATAAAATCCAAGTGCTTCTGCAAAAGTTGGATGCTGCATTGAATGTCAGGTTGTATATATATATATAGATAGATCATGAGGTATTAAAATCCTAAAGTATCAAACTTGAATTTTCCTAAGAAGGAGCGTGTTGGAAATTGTGTATGGTATCTACATATACAATAAGGTAGGGATTGTAATAAAAGAATATCGATTTATGCGAATATACATTTTAAATCAGCTTTCCATAACACATGATATATGGTTTAATATAGAAATATAATCTTCATGAAGTATCCTGAAGATGTAATTTGAATACTCGAATCAGAATAAATTCCGACCATGCCCAAAATCCATTTACTTATACGAATGGAATAGTGACCTTATGTGAAAGAATATTCAGCAGCAAACTTGAAGTCGTTCCAGAATCCAAGGAGGGTACAAAATACAGAATAATTGTACATTGAATAGCAATAAATTGTTCGATTGCTCCGTGACTAGGATTGCCCTGAAAATTTTGTGGCCCTAGACAATAAATTATTATGAAACCCTTTAAATATAATTTTTATAAAAGCGTATGAGCATCAACCATTGTCAAATAAAACAGTTTCATGTGTGAGGAATATTATGCCGAGGGTACTCACTCACCGTTTGATTCATCCAAAAATCAATTCTTGTGCTCGAGAAATAGAATATAAAGGGCTTCTGAAAACTAGTGATGTATGGGGTGGTGACTACCATAAATTACCCAAAATATTTTACTAAAAATAAAGAAAATTCAAAAGCAGCAGTCAGAATAAAAATTAAAAACAACGACAAAGAAGCATTATATAGCCGAGTAACTGTATCCATCTTCTCGAGTGAGATGCTTAGAAAGGATTTATCAACAGCACTCAGCACAAAAACACGAAACAAAACATGACAATGGCTGGCTATTTAATTGACAGGGAAGGCCTCCGAGCTGACCCCAAAGTTTACAGGAATGTAAGTTTTTCAAGGTATCCTAGCCTAGCAGTGCTACCGGCTAAAATTTACATGAAAAGAACAAATAGAATATGCCATGGAAGTGACTCGCTTCTTAACCCCCGAGATACAAGAAAATGAGGAAACTATAGGGATGAGAATTCCAGCCATTTTCCATACCTGCAAATATTGGATGTGCACAAAAACAAATGACCACAATGTGTCCATAATTAGGTCACAAATTCCGCTTTGAAATGTGACGTACAATGTAAAAGATAATGCAACCTTTTAATCTTGATCCAACATATGGTATTTGACTCTTAACAAAATCCGTAAATCAAAGTTACTTATTGGGTAATCGAATTCATGAAAACATTGTAATTTATTTCACAACTTCATTGCAACCTTTCTATGCAAAAAAATGTTGTATGATAACAAAATCAATTTTGAATAATTTTTGGTAGATGTGACATATCATTTTCCTCTTAATCCATTAGAAAAAGTAACGATTGGCTCATGCGTAACTCATTGTAATAGATATAACGGATAAATTTATCAATTGTGATATTCTAATGAAAAATAACAGTTTATGTTAAATTTACTTATATTGCATATCATAAGATAGATATAACAAAAGATGTAATCTAGCGGATATTGTAACATATAATGTTAAATTGAAGGCTGAAATCTTGATTTAAAAGAATGGTTCTACAAAATTCTAAGTTACATTGCACGATTGTTATTGAGTAAAATAACATAGCCCATGTTTGGCCCCCATTAAATTCCATTACATTACATTAATTTTTTTTCTCTCTTCATTACAACCATACATTCATCAAATAAAATAATATTACATACAAATCTAAAACTTTTCACTACTTTTCCACCACACGTTCTCTTATCAATCACTATTTCAAAAATTTTCAACCATAAAAAATGCACAATAATGGGGGCCAAATAGGGGCATAATCTGATTTCATGAATTATTTTTCAAGTTTAGCAAACATTAAGAAAAAAAAAAAAAAAAAAAAAAAAACCAAAAGGGCTACTGCCATAGTAATTTGTGAAACAAATGCAATAAACTCAAAATATTTTTCATAGAAAAACGAAAATAATAGACCGTGAAATACCTTCTACATGTCATCTCGAAAATGGAGTTTTCTGATCTGTCTTTCCTTCCACGGAGACAATTTGATAAGTTTAACAGATTAAGATCTCTGATTTTGCTGGTTTACTGGATAAAATTGAATAATCTATGGGATTTTGATGTTTTTGCCATTTTTTATGGAGTAGTTACCTAAAATAAAGTCTATGTGGATTCCCGTTATTATAGAAAAAATATTTAGAAGACACAGTTAAAGATGCTTTTTATTTGTGTGATTTCAATAGTAGTTACCAAATTCATAAAGTGAAAAAGAAAAACTACGAAAATGTTTTAGTTTCTTATTCATAACAGAGCCAACATAATGGAAGATGATCATCCTTCTACCTACGAAGCTGAGATCATAAATATTTGATGCGTGCTTATTACATAGTATAGGATACAAAGTACTATCTGGACAACATGCTTCTACTTGCAAAGCCACATCTTAAATGTTATGGAGCAGTCGAACAGTTTTCAGTATTTAATGCCCTCACTCCGTCACTCGGATTCTGAAATGATTTCAAGTTCGCTGCTGAATATTCTTCCACGTGCATTTGTTGCATTCTGCGTTCCATTCGTGGAAGTAAATGGGTTACGGGGCATGGAAGGAGTTTCTTCTGATTCAAGCATTTGAATTACAACTTTCATCGAGGGTCGCTCAACTGGATACCACTGAATGCACCAAAGTCCCACAATCGTTAGTTTTCTAACAATCTTATTGTCGCCTTCTTTCTCAATTTGGATAGCTATTTCTTCTCCGTGCTCCAGTTTATTGTAAATCCATTCTGGAAAATAAACTTGACTTTTGTCCTGCCCACCAACATCATTTTTTTTCAATCCTCCAACCATCTCAAGAAGCAACATCCCAAAACTATAAACATCCGATTTATAAGAAACGTTCCCAAAGTTTCTCGAGAAAACCTCAGGCGCAATATAACCTATTGTACCCCTTGCTGCAGTCATGGACACGATACTTTGCTCCTTGGAACACAATTTTGCTAAACCAAAATCTGATATCTTTGGATTGAAGTTGTCATCCAGCAATATGTTATTTGGTTTAATATCAAAATGAAGGATTCTCTGCTCGCACCCTTGATGAAGATACTCGACTCCTTTGGCTATGTCCACTGCAATCCGGTGCAACTTATCCCACCCGAGCTTACACCTCTGTTTTTCGGAAGATATAAACTTTTGAAGTGAATCATTAGGCAGAAACTCATAAACAAGAGCTCGTCTAAAACCATCGGCACAATATCCAACCAGACGAACCACATTGACATGGTGGATTCTACCTATTGTGCCCACTTCATTGATGAAATCTTCGCCATTCCCTTTAGAATGACTGAGGATCTTGATCGCAACAAAAACATCATTAGACAACTTTCCTTTGTAAACTGTTCCATATCCTCCTTCACCAAGTTTTTCGATAAAGTTATCCGTGATTTTCTTTATGTCTGCATACGAATATCTTGTTGGCTTGAGTGCCTTGTAATCCACCAAGAATTGCTCAATTTTCAATTCAGTCTCTTTTTTCAGTTTGATTGATCTACAAATCCAATATGATGCAATAGCAAGGAACACAGCAAGCAAAGGACCAAGTACTTCACCTGTATACAAAGCAAACAGATTTAGTTCTTTCGCCGTAATCGGAGAAAATGTTACATTCTTTATATTCACAATAAAAGCTAAAAGTGAGCATAAATTCTCACCTGCAACTCTTAGTTTTGGCACTGGACCTACAAAACATTTGAAAGTGAACTGTTAATTTCTCTTGCTTAAGATTAACTCTTCAGACTATCAAGAATTCTATATATAAAAATAAAAGAAATAGAGGAAACAAGACAAAAGGGATATCTAAAATGAGAATATGGGAACTGATAGAAAATCAGTCTATGCCTTTGGATGTATGTTGGTGCATTTTGTGAAAAGGAATGTGTCTATGTAGTATACATCTATCTCTAGACTTGAAATGCAGCTGATTTGTGAAAATGATATTAGAGTATCACAAGTCAAATATACATCTATCTCTAGACTTGAAAAAGCAACAAATTTGTGAAAAGGATATTAGAGTATCACAAGTCTAAATAGTTTTTCGTTGAAGTCAATACTTCAAAATGCATGGATAGTTTCTCAAATTAAAAAATAAGATTTAAATCATATAAATGTGAGCTCGTGTAACAATCTAAGCTTTTAAATCAAGTGATCGTAATAGATATTTCTAGAATAGATTATAATTTTGTAGGATCCATCAATTAAGGGTGGTTATGTTGACACTACTATTTATAAATCATGGTTTTAATTATTTTTCTTATTTACTAAATGACATAAATAACTTACACTCAACATATATATGAGTCTTGACTCCCAATTCTCTTTAGAAATTTGTGTTTTAGCTTCATTGGAGTTACACCAACATCGAATCAAATAAGATCAGTTAAAAGAAGATGAAATTATTTCAAGTTTCAAATTCCATAAAAAAAGTAACTCATATTCAATCACGTGGATTAAGCTTCTAGCAAAATTTTCTGTGCGTGTTTTCCCTTTTCTTTCTTTTTTACTCATTTTCTGTTATGCGAAATGTATTCTATGCCATGGAGTTACAAAAAAAATTGTAGTGAGAGAAAATATAAAGACTGTGTTTTTAAGATGGATAGTGCTATATGAACGAAGGTAAAATAAAACTAAATTTTGGTGTATNTTGGTGCTGTATTTATGATAAATATTGTGTATAAAGTGGTGTGTAATAAAACCAATCTTCCAAATCGAGAAAGTTTAAGAGAGAAAGTTAATTGATTTGAGTATAATTCTATATTCTCCCGAATCCCTCTCGCTCTTGTAAACCTAAGTCTGTATAACAGAAAATATATGTAAAATTACCTTCTGGTTTGCTGCTGCTGTAGCATTCAGTATCATTCGAGATTGACCTGTCATTCTTCATTCTACAATGTTTGCCAATGGATTCGCAATGTCCACAAGATGGTCTGGACCATTCCAATGTAATAGGGAGCATATAGCCTTCAAATACACCCCGAGGTATGTATTCATGAAGGTCAAACATCTTGCTGCAGGAATGTAGGGGCAAATAAATTAAGGGATAATCGGACTCAACTGTATAAACACCATAATCCTTACTGCTGAGGCAGGGTACGGGGTTTAGACTGTAATAATGATATCGCTTGATTTTGGAACAGTTGAAATAAGTGTAGTTATATATATCATAAGGAGATAGGAATTGGAATTGGAATGGAGATGCGGACAAATTTAGGATTGGAAGCAATCCTCCTATGCAGCCAAAGATTTGAGATATCTCGATGAATTGATTTTTGTAGTCGATTTCTTCAATGGCAAACTGAACCGAAAATGGAAGGTTAGAGTCGTTGATTGATGCCTTCACCGGAAAAGGTAATTCCAAGACCGTATCTTTGTTTTGATTGCAGTGAAGTTCAAAGCCAGGGTAGCCACAGTGCTGTTGGTGGCGGTCTCTAAGCCAGAAGGGGAACCGGATGGCAGGGCCATACTGCGTGCAGTTTTCGACTTGGCATTCATTTTGAGCACTTGATCCAAGTACTGCAAAGAGTGATAGAAAGATGAGGTAAATGAGTTGAGGTGCCATGTTGAGGAAGAACACTTGATACTGCTTATGAATTTCTGGACCTTTTGTTTTCTTTCACATTTCCCGGTATTAATAATATTTCAAGAAGAAAAAACAATCAAATCATAGACTATTCTTGAGTTGACTTGTATTTCTATTGGTCTCCGTCCATTGGAGAAATGGAATGTATTTTACCCCATTTTTTCATTTACCTGATGTGCATTTTCATCCCCCTCGATTTGCCTGACTAGTCATTTAGCTATACTAGCCTTCATCTTCTACAACGGCATGCCTTCTAGGCCGAGTAAGGATTGCACTATGTGATTTGACCAAGCCCATATTTGATAATCATTCTTTTAAATTTCTTTTTTTTCTCTTACTCATTTTTATTCATACATTCTTACAATAAATTATTTTTCGCGTAAATTCAAATTTTTTTTCTATATTTTAACCAAGTGACATATTCTTCAACAATAAATAATGTTCTTCAAAAAATTACTATTCAAAAAATCATTCTTCACAAAAATTGACTGTCAAACAAGGCCCAAGTGACATATTCTGTGTTCACAAATACAACCTTTTTTTATAATTAAATCTAAGTAGTTATATGTGTTCAAATAAAAGAACGTTAATTTTTTAAAACAGTCATTTTTTAATGTCAACATAAAAAACGTACTTCAAAATTTTGAATAATTAAAGTTACTGAACTTTTTAAGCTTGGAACATGCTCTTAGTACAATGTCATAGCACAACTTGTGTTGTTATCATTTTTTTTATCTAAATGATTTATTTAATATAATTTGGACATATCCGACAAAATCTTTGATAATTAATAGCAACCCCCATGTACTTTTAGCTATGCATGAACAAAATTATATAAGTCCATTGATTTTTCTTTGGGCCACTAAGATTTCGTATGCACGGGTCTAAAGACTTTTGAGTCAACAAAAGTTATTTCAGAATGAATGAAATTATTTATTCATATTTTCTCAACCATGCTCTAGATTATTTTGTATTGAAAAGTTTGACACTAGAAACAATTGAACCATTAGCCACCAACTTATTACCATTATATCAAAGTGATCCCTAGTTATACTTTTGTAGCACTATTGGCCCCCAGTTGATAAAAAATTGGTAAGAGTAAACCAAAATCCCTCCCTAACCACCCAACCAAGACGGTGGATTCAAAATTTGAGCAAGGTGTTGTTATGGAGCTCAAAATGACTTAAATTCGGCCCATCTCGCTATATATGTGGTCGGGCAATGTTCATCGGGGATTCTCCATAACAGCATAAAGTGAATTTAGTGGGCTGTCTATCAAGCCCGTTTCGCAAAGTAGGCCAATAGTAACTGATTTGCAACATCGATAAAGCCATAGACTAATTTGCTGAAAATAGAAAATTTGGGGATTGATTAGTAGAAAACAGAACATTCGGTTTATGAGTTTAGTATGAGGATCAAAGATTACGTTGTCTAGGCTTGTGGACCACATGGAAATGAAGTGGATACGAACATCCTAGTGAAAGTGTGGGACAATAGCTTGTGGCATTTTTAATTGAGCATTAACTTGACTATTCTTGTTGAGTCAGTTTAAAATAGTATATCATATAAAGTTATATCGATTATTATCGAGTCAATTTAAAATAGCATAATATAATAAAATCTCTTACTTATTATAGAGTCAATTTAAAATAACACAATGTATAACTCAATAATTAGCAATTAGTGTGATCTCCGCCAAAACGTATGAAAATTGAGCATCACTAGTGCTCATTATTAATAAAGTGGATGAAAATCGAATTTCTCTAGAAGGTAACAACCAAAATAGATAACATATGAAAAAAAGTTAAATTTTTTTTCAAAATAAAAATGCTTGAATAACTAACTTTTTTTATTTTTAAATAAAACAAAATTACTTTTGTTCCAGAAATATAATTCATATCTTAAAGGCAAAGGAGAAGTAAATTTCTAACTTTGACCAATAAAAATACTCTTTCCGAGTGCTTTCTTATTTTCTTAGACACGTATACTCTCATTCCAAATGTCAAGTATGGCTTGTATTATTTATGTGAATTATTGATTCTTGTCTATATTATTTGATTGAGTTATTATTTTGTGGGTTCTAAGATTTTGGACATATTAAAAAAAAAAGTCTGAGACAATTAACAGCTCTCATGGGCAAGAAGGTAACTCCATGGACCTTTAGCCATCTGTTGAAAAAATTGTTAAATTCCATAGACTTTTCTTTGGGACACCTGGAATAGGTCTCGAGTTTTGTAAATGTAAGAAACGGTTAAATTAACTCATTTTAATGTTTAAATTATTTAAGAACGATTGAAATTATTTAAGAATATTTTCTCGAACTAGCTCTTTATTTTTTCATTCAAAGGTTTGACATTAGAAAAAATTGTGCCATTAGTCCACAACTGGTTAGTGATGTATAAAAGTGATTCCCAGTATATTTTTGTAGCACTATCCATCACAAAGATTTTCTTGTTAAAAGTATAAGGAGTGTACCCTGCCAAACTCCTTGCTATCCGCCCGACATCGATGGTGGATAAAAATTTCAGCCAAAGGGTGTTAAGTGGGGAACAAGTTGACTTGAAGTGGATTCTAGTGGGTTGCTATAGAATGGATCTGGATATTTGGTTCGCTCCAACAACATAAAGTGGATTCTAGTGGGATGTCTATCGGGAGCATCTTCAAAGTGGGCCAATATCTCAAAGCCCAAAGGTTAATTTGCAATAACCAGAAAATTTGGGGACTAATTTGCAGAAAATAGAAAATTCAGGGGCAGAATTGCATAGTTCAAAAAAATGTAGGGTACCTTTTTCTAATCCAGAAAATTCAGGGTCAAAATTTCTAAAACCAAACAATATAGGGACATAGTTGCAGAATGTTGAAATTCTAGGAGTGCATATTCACATAATTGCTTGTTTGGAGATTAGAACGAAGAGCGACTTAATTGGGGATTTTAAACTATCTCAAAAGCCATCAAGTGAAAATTAATGCCGAGTTGCAACACATCATGGAAGACTTCGTGTGTGAAGTCAGTTGATCAAGTGAGTCCATGGGAAGGATAAAGTAAGCAATGAAAGACTTCAAGTTATTATTTTAGTTTGAGGACAAGAGACTACGGTGTTGAGGTTTTGAGATAACATGGAGATGAAAAAAGTATGAACATGCTAGTAAAATGATGGTATAATAATTATTAATTATTCACTCTGCATTGAGCATTGACTTCTAGTCGAATGACAATAAGACTTATAGTTTATGCAACGCATCTTGATATAATCAAAGGATAAGATCACATGAATCTCTTTGTTTCTAAATAATGGCCATTACTTATTTAAAAATACTATTGATTCTTTTTCATTCCAACATTACTGTTTTTATAGGAAAAAGAGCGTCCATAACTATCTCATTCTGTATTAGTAATTTTTCAGGAAGAAAAAACAATTAAATCATAGACTAATGAGCCAGTGTACAGTTGACTTGACTTGTATTCGATTGGTTTCCGTCCATTTGAGAAATAAAATGTATTTTCCATTTACATGATATGCATTTTCATCCCCCTTTCTTTGTTCCCCCACACCAAATAATTCATACTTGTTTCTCGTAAATTTATAGAACACAAAACCCTGTGGAAATTAAAATCAGCGTCGTTGAGAGAATCTCTATCAATGAGAAACATCGGGCTACTCTTTGCAATTTCTATAGTCTTTTTAATTCTTTTACACTGTGCAAGTTATTGCGAAGCCGAGAATAACCATGACTGTCCCCCTACTTCTTGCGGCAGCATCACAAACATTAGCTACCCGTTTCGACTTAGAGGCGACCCCGAAAATTGTGGCAATTCGAGCTACGAACTTGCTTGCGAGAACGATCGCGCTATCCTCTATCTAAATTCCAGCAGATTCTTCGTGCAATCAATTTCTTACAATAACTACTCGATTCGAGTACTTGATCCTGGTATGGAAAAAACCAGTCGTGCTTCATTTCCAAGTAACAATCTGATGTCAGATTACCCATGGTACGTTTTGGGGCCGTATTATCATTTGTCGAGGAGGAATATTCCTGTAATGTATATCCACTGTGAAGCTCCTGCGAAGTCTCCTTTTTATGTTGATACACGCATTTGCAGTAAAAATATTTCTCTGCAGAAATATTCCTATCTTCTAGTCGGAGACAACGTCAGTGTTGCAGATTTAGAAAATTCCTGCAGTATTGACACGGGGGCGTGGATTTCAAATGAATTTCCCATAGTTCATAATGCCCCCTGTTCAGACATTCAAGATGGGCTGGCTTACGGATTTGTGCTTTTCTGGAGATTTTCTTGCAGCGAATGTGATGCAATAAACGACGAGTGTCTTTTCAAAGATGGGGCCTACGAATGCTCACCTTACTGCGTGAGTTCCAACCGCAGTACCCGCCTATCGCACGGATGTATGTGGGTTATTAGTTTCTTACTTTTATTTTGCTGTGTAACAAAATAGAGGTGCTTATTTTTCTCTTTGTTAAGTATATATATTTATCAGTGAAAATAATTGGTTCCCACTTCGGAGATAAAAAACTGGTTTACAAGATCCTGACTTATTGTTTTTATTTTGCAGGTTTGTGGATTAATGGTGGGTTTTCCGTTCTCTTGACAAAATTTTAAATACATAAATATGTTCCTCTTAAGTTTCTAGACTAGGCAATTCATCATAACAGTTAAAAATCATTGAGCCCTGTTTGATGGCCATTATATGGAAAAAAATACATATATTGTTATTATTATGTCCCATGATTTCTCGTGCGTTTTCTTTTCTGTTATGCACTCAAAAGTAATGATCTTTTAATTTTTAATTTTTTTGTTAATTGCTAAGAGAATTTTTTCCTCTCTGTTAAGTGTATATTCGTGAGCGAAGATAATTGTTATTTTGCTGATCGTGCTTTTGTTTTGTGATGCAAAAAACGAAGATTGTCATTTGAATGATGATCAGATGGTCGAATGCTTACCTCTCTGCGGAAATTTTTCC